TTATTCTTTCAAAGTATTTACTACTCTAAAAACAATCTTTATTTTTGTGTAAGCCTTACTTTGCTCTTAAACATGAGCACTGCAACTGCAATAATATTGCAGCATCCTAAAAATTCCAGCCTAAGTTCTATGCATACTGTCTCAAAGGTAGACTTGAAGTTAATATATTCAATGCATAAGAAAACAGATTTTAACCTGTTGGCTTTCGCTTCACTCTCATAAACATTAGCAGTAAGAGTCCTTCAGGCCACATTATCTCTCCCCATGCGACTTCACTGCCCTCAATGGGTTTTCACTGCTGTACCAATTTATTCTATAATTAGAGTTTAATAAACAATCTCTCTGATGATGTACAGGAAGGGAAATAATTCACCCTTCCTCTCTTGCATGGACTTCTCAGTGCTAACAAGACTAAAATAGAGTAGAAAACATTACTTTTGACACCAGATCAAGTACATGTGATTGTGAATTCATATAACCACTCTTAGGTATGGGGAGACCTTATTTGTATGCAGGAACTTCAAAGTAGGAAAAACACTTCAAATAAAACTACAGTACCAACAGCTATTGCTTTCCTTAACTGATGGAAGATTTTAACCAGCCAAAAACACACTCTTTCAAAATAATTTTTAGAAACCCAGCAAAATAAATCTATACTTTAAGGCTTGTGAGATTTTTTGTGTCTCACCATGGAGCTCCATTTTGCCACCCTGCCACTTCCCAGCTGAACATCTGGACTACTCAAATATGTGGCATGGCACAGTAACTGCTAATTATCAAAAGGAGCGGCTTGAAAACTTCCTCTGATCTTTTAAGAAAGGACTTTTTACTAAAAATACAAGCCAGAGTATTGGGATTTATGTCAAGCTTATATGAGGTTGTAGCAAGAGAATAATGTACACATTAGAAGTTACTGATACCTTTTTTTTGGTGCATTTAATGCTAAGTGGCAAATTGGTCTGAACCAACAAATATTCACTGACTTCTCCACACAAAGGACTTCATACACTCCTCTCATGAAAGCACAGTCTAGCAGACATTTTAGGAGAAGAATAAACAGTACTTACTTCTATAGCTTTGGATCATTTATGATCCAAACACCAGTGTAATCAATGCAAATATTTCTTTTGATTGCTGTGTATACACTGAAGTAGAGAACTGACAGAGATGGTATAACCTAAACTATACAAAGAAAATGTAGGTGCCTAGCTAAGCACATTTAACACATGGGTACAAAATGCTTTGTGTTAAAGGAGAATTCTAGTTTGAAAGTGCCAAATATACTGAAAAATGTTTTTATTGTATGACACAAATAATTTATATATATATATATATATATATAAAAATTATGCCGAAGATTTCCTTTTGTCACAAAAAACTTAGGCAAGCAAGCTATTGCAATAATCTCCCTGGATACAGCCTTTAATTTATAAGAAGGATTTTTTCAATGTACATTCTGGAGATTATAAAAAACCCACTAGGTATTCTGAAGCGTGATCTTCTGATGATAAATGAAGATGACTGAGTCCATTCTCTACGCTACAATTAGGGCTTGTCTCCAAAACTACGACTGTGAATCAGCCTTCACACTTAGAATATTTGTTTCCATCTCATTTGTTTCCAGAGTTTCTGTTCATTTTGAGAAGCCTTGATGTCTTTTAAATAGAGAAGAAACAAAGGACTGCAGGTTTTGAAGACTTGAAATAAATAGGAGGAATTCCTTGACATGTTTTCTCATATATTTCACATTCCCAATGCTTTTAATATGAAATGGTTTATAACTAGAGCAGATTTGAAATGTTAATCATTAGCATATATACCAGGGTGTGCAAAAGAGCGAGGAAAATCCTGGAAAATATCTTAGCAACAACCTTGTTCTGATTTAGTGCTTATTTTACTCTTGACAATCCCTACTCTCCATTTTAATTCACATACTTTGATTAGTCTTTTGCTGTCATGATAGAAGACAGATATGAGGTTTAGAGTCACTAGTATTACAAGAGTCTTGTTCTTTTTATATCCATATATTCTTTCAATTGCTGAATAAATTTTTAATCTCAAAATCAGTATTTTGAAATTCATTTGAATTTCTAAGTCAGCATATTTTTCCCAGTGCCTATTGACATGCCTGACAATATTTATCTTGATTTAAATATGTCAGTGGAAAAAATAAAACTAAAATAAAAAAAACACAAAACAAAAAAAAAAAAACACCCAAAAACCTAAACCAAAACAAAAATCCCACAGCCCCCAGCTATTATCTGAAAAAGCTTCATTTCCAAAGCTTTTATATTTTTGTTCAAAATCCCATCTGGGATAGAACTAACACACCGTGAGATGGATTAGTGTATCTGTGCTGTTCTCTGTCTCTGCAGAGAGGTGTTACAGATGTACAGTAACTCCAGGGCTTCTCTAGGAGATCCAGTGCTTCTCTGTGTGTGTGAATACTTCCCCTATTGGCACATGCCTGGCATGCCAGGGCTTTTCAAAAGGACTTCTATTCACTACATGTACGCTACACAAATCACATATCTCAAACACATGGAAGCCCTAGGCTGGTCCATTGTATTTCTACTTGCAGTGGCACCTCTTGTCACTCTGCACCTTCATTCCTCTCTGCTCCTGCACGAAGCTCTCTTGGCAAACATCCTCCCATCAATGTGTTAAAGGAGTGGAACGGTAAAAAATGCACAAATTAACCATCCTGATAGCAAATTAACTAATGCAAATAAATGCAAATTCAATGCATTACCCTGGCATAGCATGCTAATGAGAAAACAAGTCATTTAGTCAATCAAGGAAATATGCAAATAAAAAACATCCTTTTCCAAAGTACTTTGACATAGAAGTCTAAAAGAAATTAAATACTGCAACTGTACTTTGAGTATATAAATTACTATTTGTGTAGTTTGCAATAAGAACATTCTACCTTGTGGTTTTTTTCTGTTCCACTTGGCAATAGCAATATAACAAAATGTATTTCCTATTTAAAAATACTGCAGAAATGTATTTTTCTCACTAATGTGATGTTTGAAGCTTAATGCTAAAAAAACCCCAAACAACTAAAATGTACTCAGCATACTGTTGAAAATTCAGCTTTATCTAATGTCAAATGGTACAACCAAGCAGTTTGTATTTCTTGAAAGATAATAAATAGCTTGTCCTTCTAAGACCAGATGTTGCAAACAGCATTTGCCTTTCTCCATGTGTGCATCTGAGGACCACTGTTACAGTCCAAATGTCAGATGGCAAGTTGCTGTGGAAGATCTGCTGCCCTCAAGGAAATCCTTGCACGGGTGTTTTTGTGGACTATAAGCACATATGATTAAACACAGCCCACATAAAGAAGGGTCAGGGCCCAGTGAAAAGTACTTGTTATCACCTGTAGTAATAAACAGGATCAAGAGATGTAATCAGTGTTCCAGAATTAATTGCTGGAATATCAGGACGGACCAAATCAGGACACCAACATTGATAAATACCACCATGCACAGTTGCTGTAAAGGAGAGATAAGAAAAACACTAGATGCTATTCCTTTCTGAATAGTAAGTTTCAGGTTAGGAGCTAAAAGGTTCCAAAGATTTCTTTGCTGCTCCCTTGAACTTTTCAGTGTTATCTCACAAGCTCCTCTGAACAATTTAGGACACACTAATTACTTTGTAAGATTGCCCATTTGAAAAGTGGGCATCTGAATATTTTTTCATGGTTGCTAAATTGAATTCTACATTTCTGCATCCGAAGAATCAGAAGCAAATACTTTTATGTCAAGGAAATGGACAAACAGCTTTCTGGCAAAGCTGATTCCTTCTCATTAGTCTAATGCATTGTAGAAAATGGAGCAAAATTACAGCATGCTAAAATGTTAATCTGTAAAGTTCAATCAGCAGCTGCGGCATGCTTAACCCAAACACTTTTCTATGACTATATTATAAAATTAATGGAAATGCAATTACTACTTTTTAAAGAAAATCACATATTTTATTTTATATCTTGTATATTTCTAATATACAGTCACTCACTGGGCTCTTTTACACGGATGATTACCTTCTCAAGATCTATGTTGCTGTCTCCACAATACCAATGTCAAAATAAATGTCAGTTTCTCTGTAGCTAATCTAGCAAAAGTAAGCTCAAAAGTGAACCCAGTGATGTAAAAGGGGATATTCAGCAGAATAGAAGCCTAAAATTTCCTCCACTCCTTCTCAAAGGACTTCATATTCTTTCCAAGTTCAACTTTCCAATTTTTATTATTAGCTGGTATTTCCTAAGCGTTTGAACAAATGACCATTTCTAGCTATCTAGTACTTACCATTTAGCAGAAGGAATAGCAATCAAAATTTGCATTTGGAATTGTCTTATTTCATTTGCCTGAAACAACAGAGCTTGACTAAGCTTTTCACAGTCTGACACACATTTTGTCAGGTGAAATAAATATTTTGGGTTTTGATGGACAAATGGAAGAATGCTCAAAGACTGTGTTTATTAATGTTTTTTTATTACTTGCCATCTCTAATTATGCTGTATCTACATAAGAACATTTCTTTCTCTTTTTTGGTACCAAGCACAACTAAAAGGGCAAGGGTCTCTCTTTAGGTAGAATACTTGAAGGTTGAGTGGCTTTACTCATTTTCCAAGGTCAAAAGAGAAATATAATGGAAAAAGTGCAGTAATGCATTTTAAAGCTGGTGAAATTCTATAAAAAGGACCGTTAATTCATGGAGGGAAGGAGATGAACATGCTGTTCACCTGTAGCTCTGCAGTATAATGTTCATATCAAGTGTTAATGACAGGTAACCTCCCTGGAGATTTATTCATTCATTTTCTCCTAGGTACAGTGTATTAGCCGAAGGCTTTTCTGCACAGCCATGATGTGAATTGCAATTAACGCTAAGCAGCCAGGGGTTGTTTGTTAGATTATTAGAGCAAGTGAAGCCAAATGACTCACTCTATGCTCTTTACAGAAAGAAGACGAGCAAGACAGATGTTTATGATAGGCTACCTGGATGCCTATAGAGGAACGGCGACTCTTGAGGAACTCCTCTGCTTTTGTCACCAGGATGGCCTTGTCGCTGGTCCGAATGGCGGTGCTCTGGCTCTCGGCCGCGTGGCGCTGGGCAGCCGCTGTCTCCAGGGCGAGGTTCATGGCCTTGTTGCTGTCCAGGCTGTCGGTGGAGTTGTACATCCCTCGCCCGTCCTGCGGCCACGGGGATATCCTCTGAGTCCGGCTGTCGTGATACGCATCCTGCGTGGATTCTGTGCTGCTCTGTGCCGTGACGGAGATCAGTGGCTTGGAAGTGGTGCGAGGGGGTACTGGTGGTGGTGTTTTCTTGTAACTTGTATAAGTTACAGCTATGGAAAGAATTAAAAGAAAAAAAAAATAAGCAGAAAGAAAAAAAAAGAAAGAAATAAAAAAGGTAAGAGAGAAATCAAGATTAATTTGATGGAAATTTGACAACAGAAATCACCTTAAGATTGTGCTATTTAAAAATAATGATGGTGCAACATAGCACTCTTCATCAACCTCACTATTATTTGAAAGTGTCACTCAGAGCCAGATGGCCACCCACAGAAACATTTTATTTCAACAAGGAAGAAGGAAGGGGTGGAAATGGGAGTACCAAATTACAGAGAAGATGAAAGACAGTTAGCAAGGATACGTGTGTTAAGACTTGTGCTGGGTAAGTACACACTGAGGCTTCTGAGATTAAAGGATAAAGCTCATAAAAGGAATAAAATAAGATTTTTCCCCCTGTTCTTATTGTCTGAACTGTGAGCTTTGTGGTATGCCATACTATTTTATGGTATGCCACACTGCTTTATGGTATGCCACACTATAACATTTTAAAATCCTTCCAGGTACACTGGTTGGAATTAGGCAAGGTTGGCTACTTACTTATGCAAGAAGCATGTATTTTAAACATTTTCTCAATACAGTTAACAAAAGGGAATTCAAGACATGTTAAAAATATTGTAATATATGCAAAGCTATTAAGACTTTGATGAGCAGAGCAGTTCTGAAGCTGGTTTAACACAGATTCTCTCTTCCAGCATAAGGCTGAACAAAACATCCAAGAAAACTCTGCGGATGCAGAACTGTGCCAATACTACATCCTTACAAAATTTAAAAAAATCATAGAGATTAATTAATAATTAATATAACAAAGATGAATATTCTAATTGTCTGAGCCCACTATATGCTTTTTCACTTTTTTTTTGGTACTAAGAGTATTCCTCCCGTGGAAGAGTATTTTCCCCAAAGCACATGCAATCATAATTCATAAAATTAGCAACTGATAAAAAATGCATTGCGGTATATCTTTCTTTATTCCTGTATGGAGGAACCAAGTCCAATTCACTTCTTGTATAGTTACAGGAGTAAGATTGCCTTTGTCTGGTGATACTAATGGATTGACATTGCAACAGTTACTCAGGTAATCTTGGAATTTGGGTTACTTGAGTCCAAAAAAGGTTCTGTAAGTGTTCCTCTTCACATTACACCAGTATGGGCTGATGAGCAGTGAAGTCAGCCTCTCCAGCTGTGTTTTTTTATATAAGGCTATGTTGCAGCCATCTGGAATGGAGAGATTGGCTTAGGAATTAACACCTTGGACTGCTAAGCCTCTATCACCAGGTTAGCCTATGTGAACAGTGAGTCTAGAGAAAGTGACTTTTAAATGTTGACTCTTCATAATCATATATTAAAGTGTTATCATACATAAAAAAGAGAAAGGCTGACCTAGGAAAGAAAACCTTAATTTAAAAAATATTTTGAATTACTATTGATGCTGCTCAATTCTGGTAGAGATTTAGAGCCTTGCTCTGAGCTAAATTGCTCTAACAGAGTGAAACATGTAAAAGATGTGAAACATGCTCTTCAAAATCTGAGACTGTGCTTTTTTAGAAGTGGTATTTTGTTGTCCTATCACCAATCTTATCTCCTGTCAGTTTTTTGACCAGCAATTAAGAAAGAAAGAACTCAATATTTTTCAGATGCTTTAGGGAGTACCGAAGGTTCACAGAAGAAGGGGGAGGCTGTAAATCTTGGAAATTAAGTCAGTGTCTAATGAACTCAAGCAGTGGATCTGAGGAATGTTTCCACTAAGAGACTTGCCATAATGCTGCTCCCCCACTCTGCAAATGTAGATGCAAGTGATCAACATGCTGGAAAACATTATAAATAGAGAAAATGGGGTGAAATAGGGTGAACAGTATCCAGCAGAGGAAGCAAATTTTACCTGCAACATAAGACAGGTTATCACTGTGATAACTACTTTACTGCTTTTACATCTGTCTTCATGTAAAAGAATAGCAGTGAATAATGAAACATATGGTTAATGTGATAATGAAACATCACAAGCAGGTATATCCCTACTACTTGAGCAGCAGATCACTTCTCTGTCTAATGAATATAAATGTTAAACTGCTCTTGCAACCCTTCTTAGCTGACTTAATCTTAATTTAAATTTCTGAAAAAAAAATTCTTCCTGTGGCAAAACCAAAACAATTTCTTGCCTTTTTATCTCCCCCCCGTTTTTCTCCCCCTAGGACTGAATCTTTTATTCTAAAAAAGTCTGATTATTTCAGTGGAGTGACATGATTTAAAGCCACCAAGTATCAGAGTAACTGCAGTGCTCTGGCAAGCATTTGACTGCGAACACTATACAGAAATTAAAAATCCCACAGATGTTCAATAAAGAGAAGAAACTTCCAGTAGACTGGAAGTTTGTGGGAAACTGGCTACATGTTTACAGTGAAATATGGCAGGAAGAAATTCAATTAATTCCTATACAGTCACAGAGATCAAATATTGAACAGGGAATAAAAAAATCCATCTCTACACTGTTAATGAGTTTGTATCTGGAATAACAGTTTCAGAGGCAGAAATCTGGGACTAATTGGAAACTAACAAAATCAAGTAAGAGGAGAGAGACCTGCATTTGAGAGTCAAATCTTGCTACCAAATTCTATTTGCTTAATCACTCGAGTGGTTCTAGTGAAGTAAATAGGATAACTTGGCACGTGTTGCTGACTTAAGAGGCAGCTACATAACAGATTAGGGTCTTGTTAAAGGACAAAGTAACACAGTAATTCACAGTTTACTGTTCATTCTTGGTTTTAGATCTCTAATAAAAAAGTATTGCCTTAAGGTCGGAAGCATGAAACTTTATGTCACTTGCAAATTGTTTCCATTACCAATGGCATCAGGGAATAGTCCTGGTATCAACAATAACCCTTTTCTATCGTGTCTAGTTCTTGGTCTGGAAATCATAAATGCAACACATTATATATGGGAAGAAGAAACTTTTCCTGCTCCTAATAGAAAATGAACTTTTTATTTATCATCTGCTTAAGCTGATGAACAGGAGCTTCTGTCACCTTTGCATTGTTCTCTACCTTGTACATTTTATTTGCCTTAGTAGTTAGTCCAAAGCAAGCATATAAAACCTCCTCAGCACTGCTTCGTTTCTTCCCCATTTTTAGTGTTCATTCTGCAAACTCCAGAGCTGTGGAGGATTTTGCTGGCCCCACAGAGAGGGTTGGTGCTGGGCAATGCATTGTCCTGGGGTGCTGAGCACTGACTGAGGACAGTGCCCCATAGCTCCTCAGGGCACTGCTGATGAAAATTGAACTGGGAACGAGGGAGATGGGATGGAGAATTCTTGCCTTCAGTGCAGACAAGCTGAGCATCAAGGCAGCACAACAGCAGGAGATGAGACCCAGCATGAGGCAGGACTGTGGAAGAGCACCAGGAGGGCAGAGCTGGTGCAGGATGGCTTCAGGCAGATTTAAATTGTGCACTTAAACAGATGCCAGAGACCTGCTCCATGTTTGGACACAAAAGACGCCAATCCAGAATAATCTGCTGTTGTTTCTAGTGCTGACCAAAGATTTCCGAATTATTTAGTTTTCTGATTAATTTAATTTTTAGTTGCTTTATCCTGAATAGTCCTGATATTTCTCTCACCAGTCTGGCTGCTGAGCAATGAGGCTCAAGCAAAGTAAAAGCAACAGGCCTCTGCAATGCTGTTAATCAGTTTGCAAAATCTATAGCTGCTCTGAAATGCAAAGAAAAAAGAAAGTAGATGGCACAAGACATAAATATGTCTTTTTATAAACAAACTAGAAAAAGAAACAACAATTTTCTTTCTGGTTGTATTCAAAGGATATCTTGATTATAAAAAGCAGAATTTATTTTTTGCTTAATTTAATAAAGTGGGAAAAATATTTTTTGAATTCTGAACAAACATTTTGTCTCCCTCTATTAGCTTATAATAATCAATCAAAAATTACAAAAATGGTGACAAACTGTTCTAATTCTGAACCATATGGGTATTTCAGACTCCTATTTGAATCAAAGTATTAACTGCTTAGGTACGTGCCCCACTTCAACATAAATATGTCCAAATGGGTCTGCTAGATTTTCCTTTAAGGAAGGGCATTTAGAAAAATTAAGAGAAAAGAAAATGGTTCTGTGCTGCTTTGTCGTGGGCCAAAATAAACAATGATGCAAACCACGTATAAATTGTTCAGGAGATATGAGAAAGTAACAATGCAGCATAATAACACTCAGTCAGGAAAAAGTGTAAAGCATCAAATTAGTTTTGTAGGGATTGATATCTGAAGTGTCAGACCCTCACATGCACAAGATTGCCTACCAGTGCTGAATTTGGCACAGAGTTGGCTAGGTAGGACCTGTTCTGTAAACCACTTTAATTTTTTTATGTGCTCTGTGATGCCAGCCAGGCAGCATCGGTCACAACCAGAATAACAGGCACTATGGCAATACTGCAGAGCAGCCAGGAAGATGATTCCAGCACTGAAGAATTGGCAATTTGGTGGTTTGGATACACACAGTAGAAATACAAGAAAGATTTCCTGATAATTCATAAGCAACAGTTTAACTGATATAGCTGGAAGCAGAATATCCTCTTAATCTACACTGCATTTGTCTAAACTTGCTAAAAGTTACTGTTGAGGTAGCCATAGAAGTCTGGCCATATTTCAGTGTCAGCAAAGTTTATACTAGAAATAAAATTACTAAAATAACTCAATTTAGATATAACTTCAGGTTAGCCATAGACCTTCACAGTCACAAGGCAGTAGGAGAAATGTGATCTCTTTGATGAAATAGCAGTGGCTGTGGGTGACATTCAGAACACCTTTCAAAAGGCAGCCTTTTAATAAATCACCACTTTTGGTCCATTTGCAAGATAGAATCACCTGAGGGGTTTTTACAAATCAATATAACCATTAAGCACTTAGTCAAAATAACATTATTTAGGCTGAGATCACAAAGTTAGCTGGGTGATGAATTTAAATGAAAGCACCATCAATTAGAGGAAATGGTT